CCAAGGGATTGTTGGTGTTCTCTGTCATCCTGGTCCCAACCAGGCGAGGCTTGCCCTTTGCCGACAACGTACTGCCTCAACTGGCCACGCTGTATGAGCTCATCGATCTGCCTCTTAAGATCAAAGCAGTCGTTAGTATTATGGTTGTGGTAGCGATGGAAGTGGCAGTACTTGTTCGGACTCTTCCGATTTGGGGCAGTCTTCATCTTCTCTAGGCAGCGTACTGTAGGGTCATCCTGTATTTGGAATAGGATATGCTTCATGGAAGCATTAAGCAGCATGAAGGCTTGTCGCTCTCTCAGAGGAGGGGGACCAAGGTGGTCCTTGATAGAGATTCTCTCTGTTCTATTCCTTTTGTTCTCTGCTTCCTGTTTGTCCACACGAGTGTCCTTCCTCTTCTCCCTCTTCTAGAGGACTCACCTCGACAGGCCTTGGTGACGTCCTTTACATTCATGTACCTCTATGCCCTTGACAGCAACTCGGGTATATTGGAGGGCGGCTTTTTGAAGACAGAGAACATAAAATTGGAGGAGCGTAGACCAATAATAAAAGCAGTCAGGGCTACCTTATCATCTGGCTCCTCAATCTGGAGAGCCTCTTCATTGAAACGGGCAAGGTAATCTCTAAGGCTTTCATCCATGTCCTGCTTGATGGTGAGCAGGTGGGTCACAGACTTCTGATGTCAGCGCCCCCCAATTTAGTGGGAGACGAAGGATCTACTCAATTTTGTGAAAGAATGGATGGAGGAAGGTTTGATCTTTGCGAACCATTGGGGAGCAGACCCCTTCAAGGTGGTGGGGAAGACTCTACACATAATCTCCTCAGTCATGTTGTAGAGTTAAATAAGAGATTCGTATATGTCAAGATGGTCAAGGGTGTCTTTGGTACCGTCGAAGATCTCGATGGTAGGCANATCAGTCATGTTGTAGAGTTACATGAGAGATTCGTATATGTCAAGATGGTCAAGGGTGTCTTTGGTACCGTCGAAGATCTCGATGGTAGGCATCTTGAACTTCGATGCTAAGGGATAATTGACTATGTCCGTAACAAAAGGTGTATCGGTACGTCTTACCATGTAATCCACCGTCTCAGGCGTCTATGTTTTGATGGCGTTGAGGGCATCACCAAGTTGATTTTGCACCTCTATGATCTTCTTGTCCCATTAGTTGAGGATGTCCTTCGTTGGTTGGTTGTATTGGCTTCCATAATCACTATATTGGCTCTCTCATTTATCCTTTTGCGCAGGTACATAAGAAGGGGGAACTCGTGAACTCCCTGCGCACTCAGGAGGGACAGCTGGGCGTGGTCCTGGAGCATTTTGGCAAGGGGCCCCATGGTGAGGAGCTGTCTAGCGCCCAATAAGGATGGGTTGCTGCTCCTCTCCTGTTGGAGGGAGTGGGGCTCCTCCCCTGGGGTGATGGGCGACGCCTTTTTAGGCGAGCATCAGCTGAATGATCTGCTGATTTTGGTTGACCATTAGTTGCATGGTTTGTAAGAATTGTTGCCCAACGACGGGTGTCGCCGTAGCAGATGGTTCTGAGGGTGCGAGGGGAGGTGGAGCTTCCTCCCGATGGGCCGAGTTATTGTCTCCCTGTTGTTGACTCATCAATCTGGTCATGATCACCATGGATTGAAAAAGAGCAGGAAAACTAGTCGTTTCTCACAAACTGCGCCAAACTGATGATGCACAAAATAGTATTGCGCAAGATCAACAGTCAAGTATATGAAATGATGTAATTAATGAGTTGTAAATAGGCAATCAATGGCAAAACTGTAAATATAAGCAAACACACAGATATATAATAGTTCGGTTCGAGTGACCTACTCCACTCTCGGGAAGCGGCAGCGGTGGCCACAGGTGTTTTGTTGATGTATAACCGGGAGTATTACAATGTTTTTAGAGAGAGAAGCTTGGTGTGTAGAGAGGTATATTGGGAGATGTGTGGGATGTAGAGGTGTAGAGGGCTCAAGGTGATCTCAAATTGTAGAGGTTTCAAAAGCCTGCCCTCTATGTGGAAAGTGCTTACGTTATATAGGTATGATGAGGCGGTGAGGTGAGACGATCACTACTTTTTGGTAAGTACAATTAAAGTAGGATTAAATCTTCATGAATGTGTATCCGGATCTTCTCTCCCTTGTGCTCCTTTTCCTTCGGGCTTCTTGGATCCTGAACTGGATCGGAGTGGCAAAGTGAGGAGGGAGACCATAGGGGCGGCGCCCATATGAGGAAGGGAGAGTGTGGAATGAAGGAGAGCTAGGAGGATCCCCATGGGTGGCACCCCCTTGGGCGTTGGTGACTTAGGCTACCCCCTTGGGTGTTGGTGACTTGGGCATGACCTAGTTGATTTCGAGACTCATCAAAACCATTATTTAAAATGCAAAACTTGGGGAAAGCTGGTCATGTCTCTTTGAAACTTGATTTTGAGTGAGGCATATGACATACTCGAATCGGTGTTCCATAAATTGAGTTTTGATCATAGATGGATATATCAAGTTATGCAATGTGTATCCACAGTATCTTACACTTTCATCTTAAATAATGATCGGTTAGGTTATTTTTGTCCTGAAAGAGGTATCCGACAAAGAGACCCCCTGTCACTTTATCTTTTCCTCATTTGTCCAAAAGACCAATCTTCTCTGTTACGTTTAGCTGAATGGGATGGGAGAATCAATGGAGTTATTGGGAGAGGATGCCCAAAGATTACACATTTTTTTGTTGATGATAGCCTCCGTTTTCTGAGTGCCAAGGCTTCGAAAGCAAGAGAAGTGCAAAATATTCTCCAGTGCTATAAAGCAGCCTCAAGGAAGAAAATGAACATTGACAATTTGGCAATGGTTTGTAGCAGAAACATGCCAGAGGAAAAAGCGTTTGAATCCAAAATACCCTGGGTGTACAACTGGAAGAATAACATGACAAATACCTTGGGTTGCCAACGATAGTGGGATAGTCGAATAGGAAGGTATTTGGCCAAATTAGAGAAAGAGTGTAGAAGAAATNTACAAATTAGTATTGCGCAAGATCAACAGTCAAGTATATGAAATGATGTAATTAATGAGTTGTAAATAGGCAATCAATGGCAAAACAGTAAATATAAGCAAACACACAGATATAAATAGTTCGGTTCGAGTGACCTACTCCACTCTCGGGAAGCGGCAGTGGTGGCCACAGATGTTTTGTTGATGTATAACCGGGAGTATTACAATGTTTTTAGAGAGAGAAACTTGGTGTGTAGAGAGGTATATTGGGAGATGCGTGGGATGTAGAGGTGTAGAGGGCTCAAGGTGATCTCAAATTGTAGAGGTTTCAAAAGCCTGCCCTCTATGTGGAAAGTGCTTACGTTATATAGGTATGATGAGGCGGTGAGGTGAGACGATCACTACTTTTTGGTAAGTACAATTAAAGTAGGATTAAATCTTCATGAATGTGTATCCGGATCTTCTCTCCCTTGTGCTCCTTTTCCTTCGGGCTTCTTGGATCCTGAAGTGGATCGGAGTGGCAAAGTGAGGAGGGAGACCATAGGGACGGCGCCCATATGAGGAAGGGAGAGTGTGGAATGAAGGAGAGCTAGGAGGATCCCCATGGGTGGCACCCCCTTGGGCGTTGGTGACTTGGGCTACCCCCTTGGGTGTTGGTGACTTGGGCATGACCTAGTTGATTTCGAGACTCATCAAAACCATTATTTAAAATGCAAAACTTGGGGAAAGCTGGTCATGTCTCTTTGAAACTTGATTTTGAGTGAGGCATATGACATACTCGAATCGGTGTTCCATAAATTGAGTTTTGATCATAGATGGATATATCAAGTTATGCAATGTGTATCCACAGTATCTTACACTTTCATCTTAAATAATGATCGGTTAGGTTATTTTTGTCCTGAAAGAGGTATCCGACAAAGAGACCCCCTGTCACTTTATCTTTTCCTCATTTGTCCAAAAGACCAATCTTCTCTGTTACGTTTAGCTGAATGGGATGGGAGAATCAATGGAGTTATTGGGAGAGGATGCCCAAAGATTACACATTTTTTTGTTGATGATAGCCTCCGTTTTCTGAGTGCCAAGGCTTCGAAAGCAAGAGAAGTGCAAAATATTCTCCAGTGCTATAAAGCAGCCTCAAGGAAGAAAATGAACATTGACAATTTGGCAATGGTTTGTAGCAGAAACATGCCAGAGGAAAAAGCGTTTGAATCCAAAATACCCTGGGTGTACAACTGGAAGAATAACATGACAAATACCTTGGGTTGCCAACGATAGTGGGATAGTCGAATAGGAAGGTATTTGGCCAAATTAGAGAAAGAGTGTAGAAGAAATTACAAAGGTGGAAAGAACAATTACTCTCTAGAGCAAGCAAAGAAGTTTTAATTAAAGCAGTTACCCAATCTATTCCTACATACGCCATGGGATGCATCAAGTTTCCAGATCACTTATGTGAAGAGTTGGAGTTGTTAACCTCAAATTTTTGGTGAGGACAACAAAAATGGGGAAAGGAAGGTTTACTGGGTTAGTTGGAAGAACATGAGTAAGAGTAAGGCAAGAGGTGGAATGGGCTTTCAAGACCTTAGAGCTTTTAATTTGGTAGGCCTAACCAAATAGGCATGGAGGATATATAGCTAGAGACATACTCTTCTTCACAAGGTTATGAGAGCCAAGTATTTTCCTTCAACATCTTTCAAGGAAGCAAAGTTAGGTCATAGACCATCCTACATGGAGAAGTATTATCGAGGCCAAAAGGGTCATAGAAGTAGGGTCAAGATGGAGTATTGGAGATGGCAGAAAGGTCAAATTTTGGCAGGATAGATGGATCCCCATCCCAAGAAATTTCGAAGTAGTAGTTTCAATGTCAAAATTCTTTAACTACTGAAGCTAGACTAGTTGTGTATGGGCCCAATCCTGTTGGACTTCTTGTGCTGCATCTGAGCTTAGAGTGAACAAAATCGACACAGCCTCACATTTCATTTGACAATAGTGCACATTGTTACTTGCGAGAAATGCACATAATAAGTCTACCACAATACATTATACAAATCCCAGTATACAAGAACAAAGAGTACCTACTTTGTTACTTTTCAAACATTCCAAACTATGTCTGCTCCTCTACACTACACACCTCTAATTTATTTGATGCAATCACTCCATGCTACCAAATAGTAATATACTAATATATGGGATAATAATCTGGAACCTTGTTAACCTGCATTTTTTACTATCTCCACACGTTGCACGGACTCTACGAATTTCCTGCACAATAGTAGTTCCATATCACTCATTAGATCACAAATTCTGAGAAAGCATGGGAAAGTACAGATGTATATGAATATTTTAAAAAGGAAGGAAGAGACTCCCCACAAAGCTAATACAAATGAGAAATTTAATGTGCTTGTGACTCACTGTATCTCCAAGTCAATCACCCAAATTGGAGAAGAATGGGTTAACCAAATGGCTTATTTGGTCTCGATGCTTCATTGTTGGATAGATCCCAAACATGCTTCATTGTTAGATAGATCCCAAATGTTCTGGGTCGATCACATAGAATATTTTGATTAGTTACTGCATTTTGGATACACTTACCACTTTTGGGTAAAGTTATTACATTTTTGGTGAAATTATTATTTTTTGGAATAAAGTTACTATTGTTTGAACTAAAGTTACCTCTTTTTAGTACATATCTACTTTTCGATACAGAATAGTATTATGTGGTAGTATAGTGCTACGCTAGGTTAGGATATAACTCTAAAAGTTGATCTCCCTTGTACTTACTATTTTTTCATATCTATAAAGCCGATTTTACCAGTAAAAAAAAACTAATTCGTGATGCACCAAAGCAAACAAATGAGCAATAGAGTCAAAGTAAATCTGAGAATATACATACTGCCATGGAACATCTGCTGCAAGCAGCCAGTCTCCTTCTCTGTCTTGATAGAATAGGATATAATGTGCACCATCTTTGTCACTTTTCGGGTCTGCAAATGGAGAAACCCCAAGCAGCTTCAAAACCTGGTATTGATTTCAAAGAATCTGTGCAGTGTATAAATAGTACTTACGTTTAACGAACATGTTGATTAAGGACATTTTGAGGGTCTGATAAGAATGATAGAGCCTTAGATCAATCTTCCTTCCTATGCCCTCTCCCTCCATTTTCACCTTAACGTACATGGATTTTGTTCCACCATTTCCCCTCTCTGTCGTCCGCTGGTTTGCAATCCGACCGCCTTGATGCCCATGAAGTAAATTTTTCATCCATGACTTAATAGGTGGCCAACCCACTAGATGATTTTCTTCTTCACAGCTCCTGTAACATTCTCATGAGAACATTGATGTTGGAGTAGGATCCTTTGCATATACTTATCAATTTGAAAAATGTTTCCTAAGCCCTCTTTGGTTTGGTACTTCAAACAAAAGATATATAACCATGCCACACCAAAATTAAGAACATAACAATGTTATTGGGACATAATTTACTGACTTAATTTGTTGACCTAATTCACTATGATCTTTAAATTAACTGTGGGCTCCATCAAATATTGAAACTTGGTGTCTATCCAATAGTTCCAATGAAATCACGTCATTAGGTTAGCAAATTATGTCAAATTTTTAGGTCAAAATAATATTTTTCTTAAAAAAAAATAGTATGTCTTGGAGGCTAGATTCTATTGCAGTCAAATTATGAATTGGACTTCAAGGGTTTAAGTCATGGGATCCTTCGGGACACGGGAGTCAGCATGCTAGGCTACCTTTTTAGGGAGCCACCATAGAGCAAGAGTGTAATTTGGGTGGACTAATTCGAACTCAACTAGAAAAAATAGGACTTAAATTGAGGTTTTTAATAATTTGATGACTTGTGCTAAAAAACATCAACCCAAATTGAATTCGAACAATACCAGAGTTGAAACATCGGGTTACTGAGTTCAACTCGAATATATTGACCGAAGACCTTCATAGACAAAGACCTTCAGCAACCAAAGAATCTTCAGCCTCTCTAACTCTCTCAACTTCTCACAGCAAAAAATCTTTAGCGACCAAAGACCTTCGCCGAAGATCTAACACCCAATTAGATCTGTGCCTTTCTCGACGAACCATCCCTGGTATCTATACAAATTTTTTCAAGTGCAAAATTTTTTAATTTTAGATTTTGATTTCATTTTTAATTTCAAAATTTTTAAAGTATAAAATAGGTTAAATAACCCGAATTCAACTTGGGCAGTACTAGGGTTAAATACCTTGGGTTGAGACCGGTCCAGTTAGAATTAAGATTAGAATTGAAAATTATATATTAAGGTTGAGTTAGAATTGACCCTCATCCAAGTTGCACGGCAGGGGCCGGAATTGGCTTAAGGGTGGGCATAACCTATATTTTAAATATATTAATAAAATCACAAAACTAATTTTGATGAAAATTTAAACTACCTACAAGAAAATCAAAGCCTAAGGTCAAAATAATTTCTAAGATGGAAAGAAAAAAAAATCATTATCAAACAATACTATTTTTTACCAAATAGATATATTAAAGTTAACGGTTAATTACACTTGATTCTCAAAAAAAAATTAAAGTAGATCAAATTTTATTGAAGGTGTCTAGATATAATCTCACATAATTGTCTTTTTTGAATTGATAGCTAAATTATGTTTATATTTAGAATAGATTTTTCTCGAGTAGCCCTAACTTTTAATTTTTTTCCTCTCAATTTACAAAGATAAAGTAATACATTTATATTAATTCCGTCATGTTTCATAATAAAAAGTCATTAAATTTAAAAGGGTTAAAAGTTGATACATATATTGTATATATGAATAAAATAAAAATAAAAATAAAATCAATTACAACACTAATCGAAATGTGAGGCTTATTAGATCTATTTATAAATTATGCTAACGAGTTTTCATATTTTATATTAAAATTGCAAAGTTATCAAAAAAAAAATTAAGAAATAAGCATAATAATACTACTGCAATTCAATGGAAACAAATCAATCGTCAGGTGTAGGTCAATTGAAAAGTAATTTCACATTAAAATTTTAAAATTTAAAACCAAATAATACACAATTTTTTAAAATCAAGACAAATATTAAGGTGGGCACAACAAACAATATTTTAAAAAATAAACTAATTATATATATATATATATATAATAAAATAGTTTACAATTCAATTTTCAAAAGATAAACAAAATGACTTTTATTTTTCGCGGTTCAAATCGCTTTAAATTTTATTTTAAAGTTAATCTAATGGCTAATATTAACTCCTTAAATTTAATAGGAAAAAAAGGTCTTTAAGAGTGTGGTTGGAGTGACTTTTTAAAAGTATTTCTAGGAATTATTTTTCATAAGTACTTTTAAAAAAATAGTGTTTGAAACCACCCCACCACTACCTCTACCACCAATACTCCCACCGCCACTGTCACCGCCATCGCTACCGTCACCATCACCATCACCACCATCGTCACCGCCAACACTACTGTCGCTGCCACCATCCCACCCCCCACCACCACTGCCTCCACCATCATCATCGCCGCCGCCGTTGCCATCGCCATCACCACAACCATCACTGTCTCATACCACCATCATTGTCGTCCACCACCTCTCACCCCATTAAAACTAATGCTTAAATTAATTTATCTATGTTCTATGTTTGTAATTTAATTTTGAATATAAATATAAATATGTTTATTATTTNATCAATCGTCAAGTGTAGGTCAATTGAAAAGTAATTTCACATTAAAATTTTAAAATTTAAAACCAAATAATACACAATTTTTTAAAATCAAGACAAATATTAAGGTGGGCACAACAAACAATATTTTAAAAAATAAACTAATTATATATATATATATATATAATAAAATAGTTTACAATTCAATTTTCAAAAGATAAACAAAATGACTTTTACTTTTCGCGGTTCAAATCGCTTTAAATTTTATTTTAAAGTTAATCTAATGGCTAATATTAACTCCTTAAATTTAATAGGAAAAAAAGGTCTTTAAGAGTGTGGTTGGAGTGACTTTTTAAAAGTATTTCTAGGAATTATTTTTCATAAGTACTTTTAAAAAAATAGTGTTTGAAACCATCCCACCACTACCTCTACCACCAATACTCCCACCACCACTGTCACCGCCATCGCTACCGTCACCATCACCATCACCATCACCACCATCGTCACCGCCAACACTACTGTCGCTGCCACCATCCCACCCCCCACCACCACTGCCTCCACCATCATCATCGCCGCCGCCGTTGCCATCGCCATCACCACAACCATCACTGTCTCATACCACCATCATTGTCGTCCACCACCTCTCACCCCATTAAAACTAATGCTTAAATTAATTTATCTATGTTCTATGTTTGTAATTTAATTTTGAATATAAATATAAATATGTTTATTATTTTTTTTTATTACTCTATTAGATAATAACTAGTATATATATATATATATATAAGGAAAAAAAATTGAAGGCGGGCACTGGCCCCTACTTACCTCCGGCCTTGGTTACACCCCTATACCAGAGTACTAATATGACAACACCGTTTGAGTAAATAATTTGTTTTCCCTTCCCTACAATTCTCAGTGGCGCTTTTAAAAACCATGCATGTAAAGTGAACAAAAACACAATTCTAATTTCTAAACAATATGTGTGTGTGCTCAGTCACTTCTGCATTAAAATTAAATTGTTCCTCATGAATTTTTCTTTCCCCATTTTCATCCTACAATTATTCAAATAATCCCTTTCTTTTTCAGATTGAAAATGACGAGAATTATATAAAATGTTTACTGAACACTATTTGCTTACTTGTTGCTTTCGCCAAATGTTCTCTTCTTCTGCCCCCTCCGTTCATCATCATCTTCGTTTGGCTGGCCATTCCACAACAGTAAAGGCCAAGTTTCAGTTGAAACTCCACCAAGCTCAAAGGCCTCAGCAAAATTGCGTTTGTTTTTCCCGAAGCTTTTGGATTCAAAAGGATAGTCATTTCTCACCATTTCTTTGGGTTCCGACTTCTTGTTCAGGTCGAACCCTATAATGGGACTCTGGGTTGGAGGGGCAAGACCAAGTTCAAGTTCCATATCGTAGAATACGAAACAAACAAGTTTGAACTAATGACAATAACAATAAAAAAAAAAATCAAAAAGAAGAAAAGGTGTTCAAAGTGAATGGGGTTCAGTTTTAAGAAAGTTCAGTATATATACTTGAGCTGAGGTGTGTGTGAGAAGGAGGATTGGAGAAAGAATGTGTGAGAGAGAAGGGAAAAGGACCTTTGTCGGTCTTGAAATTTGAAAGAGATGAAATGAGGGACAGCATTGAAGTTGGGTCGGCGAAAAGTGTGGCAGTGAGATAGACAGGTAAGAAAAGTCTGTGCCAACGTGCTAGCACCGCGCTATTCTCCTAAGTCCGAACCCTCCTTGTCTCTGTGTTCCCACTGATCACCACCTCAACCGAACCTATCTCTCTCTCTCACTCTCTCTCTCTCTCTCTCTCTCTCTCTCATCAGCATTTCAAAGATGCAGACTAACTTCTTTAAATCCATTCTTTTGATTATGAGCTGATATAAATCCAATACAATAATGTATGTAACCTGTTTTCCGTTTTCCTATTCAACATATTCCTTCTAAGCAAATTGGATAAGTGACATGTGATGATTCTTTTGATTTGTGTCTAAATAAAGATATCATTACAATACGAATACTCATGATATATATTTCTTTAACAATGAAGCTCATGGTGATTTGACATAATGTCAGATCAGAGATACTAGGTTTGAATGGTATAATCCCTCTAAGGCTTGCACTTGTTTGACTAGAAATCGAGCCTATATGAGAGGGGCCGGCTTGTTGTGTATAAAGACAGACTTTTTAATGTAATGAACTTTGATATGAATTAAATGCAAGTCAAAATTTAAGTAATTGAAGGTGGTTTGTATTCGTTTTGTAAATTAGAACCCAAATCCTTATAACTATATAATATTCTATAGATTTGGATCAAGTTGGATATGCCATCCGATCCGAATCCAATGTATGTCATCCGATCCAAATTCTTAAAATTTGTATGCAAAATATACTTAGATTTCTACCATCGATGTCTATTAATATATCTGTTAGTAAATTACATTCAAATCCTCTGAAATTTGTAAGCATGTAACACTTACACTTTTTAAATTTAAAATATTATACTTAGACCAAAAATATTTCAATTAAAAATAAACTATCAAATATTTAAAATTTTATAATCAAAATTCATATTCTATTATGACATTTATTGAAATAAAATTAAAAATAAAAATCTAATTTTTTCTTAAAAAATTATAATTAGTATATAATTGTACTATCTATTGGAATTTAATTTGGTCATTTAAACCATCAAATTAAACTATCAAATTATCCCAATTAAAACTAGAATATATTGTGTTCATTACAATTTGACCACTTATTTTATTTTTTAGTTTTATTTGGATAGATAGTATAATTTTTACTAATTATGATTTTTTAAGAAAAAATTAAATTTTTATTTTTGATTTTATTTCAATAAATGATATAATAAAATATGAATTTTAGTTGCAAAATTCATGTTATATTATGAATAACTTAGACCCTTTGTTTGATTTTTTGGTTTTATTCTAATGGATAGTATAATTGTATACTAATTATAATTTTTTAAGAAAAAATTAAGTTTTTATTTTTGATTTTATTTCAATAAATGATATAATAACACATGAATTTTTGTTATAAAATTTAAAATATTTAGTATTCTATCTTTAATTGGAGTATTTTTTTGTCTAAATATAACATTTTAAACTTGAGATGTCTAAACATTATACGTTTACAAATTTCAAAAGGTCTGGGTATAATTTATTAATAGATATACTAACGGACATGGACAATAATGATCTAAGTATTACATGTGTATAAACTTTAGAGTTCTGTGTGTAATATTTCAAATATTAGGAATTTGAGTAATTAAGTTATAAATCTCAAAAAATCTGAATGTAATTCTGTCAATACTTATATTGTACGCTCTCTAATAAATTAAGTTTTTGCAAGTGTTAATGGTCTAAAAATTATCATAGCAAGATTTTTCATTCTTATTGTTA